TCCATATTAGGGCAAAAATACCACCTTTGAAATAAGATTAAATTTGCTAAGATCTAAAATATTATTAAATTCATAACAACTAAGTTCTTAAAACAATATAAGAGTAAGTACACTAGAACAAAATTGGAAGTAACTAAACAAAATAGAACATGAAAGATATGACTGATTAAAAGAAAATAAAACCAAAAAAAATCAAACAAAACCAAACAAAATAAAATAAAAAAAATCCAAACTTTACTAAGAGAAAGAATCAAACGCCATACCTAACTAAATGTCCAAATGGCCTCAACTATTGATATTTTGAATATAATGTCATGCCTTTTGGATTGAAAAATATTCTAATTATATTTTAACATTTGATGAATGATGTTTTTTGAAAATTCTTGGACAAATTCATTATCTAGTATCAAAATGATATCTTAATCTACTCAAAAACTCTTGAAAGACATAAAAAATTTGTGAGATTAGTCTTGCAAAAGTTATAAGATATAGAATTATATACCAAATTAGAGAATTATATATTCTATCAATCAAAAGTAGAATTTCTTGGATATATTATATCTAATGAAGGCCTTTTGATGAACTCAAAGAAAGTTGAAGTTATAACCGAGTAAGCAACTTCAAAGGCAATATGACATGTACAATATTTTCTTAGATTTTATAATTTCTATCAAATATTTATCAAGAATTATTCCAAATTTGTTGCTTTTTTATTTGATTGACATCAAAAGATAAATTGGAATAGAAACCTGAAGCATAAAGGGTTTTTTTTAAGATTTAAAGATAACTTTTACTACAATCCCAATCTTAATACATCTAGATTTTATAAAAGCTTTTTATTTGGAAATTAATGTATTTGACTTTGCATTAGAAGTTGTACTATCATAGATGAAAAAAGATGGAAAGTTCTTTTTTATTATATTTTATTCTAAAAAGTTTTTAATTACAAAGATTAATTATAGAATTCATAATAAAGAGCTTCTTGTGATTGTAGACTCTTTCTAAGAATGAAATTACTTGATAAAAGATAATATACATCATATGATTTTATATATAAATCACAAAAATTTGAAGTATTTTATATCAGCTTGGATTTTGAATTCCTACCAAGCTCATTTGAATATGTCATTATTTTATTTTGATTTTATAATTTCATATTAATTAGAAAAATAATAAGAACTAATATAAACTTTATCAAAGAGATCATATCTTGTTTCAAAGGCTGGAGAAGCAAAATTTGATTAATAATATGTAACTCTTTTAAAGGTAGAATAATTTTGACTTTGTGCTTCTTCTATAGTTATACTTATTGATTTAAATTGTTTTAAAAAAATCCATATAACATGAGCTAAAGATTCATTAATTTGCAATATCAAGTAATATCCTAATAATAATAAGTTTAAATTTATAAAAGATCTTTTGTCTTTTAAAGATCATTTATATATTCTAGAAAGATTGATGCAACTTCATATTCTTCAATTTTGTCATGATTTCCTAATTATAAGATATTTTAGGTTTAACAAAATATTAGAGCTTGTCTCTCAAGATTTCAAGTGGCTTCAAATGTGGAAAGCTATATAAGATTTTGTTCTCTTATGTGAGATTTGTTCAAGATCCAAGAATTTTTGATATTGTGCTTATAGACTTCTATAGCCACTACCAATTTCAAAGCAATTATAGTCTTTGGTATTAATAGACTTCATCATTTAACTATTGCCATCAATTACATTTGATGTTTCATGGCCTATTTGATGATATTATTTCAAAATGAGTATCTCAATTTATATTAAAGTTTTAGAAATTCTTTTTTGAAATATTGAAGATGGATATCAAACTTTCTTTTTCCTTCTATCTTTAAACTAATTATCAAACAAAAAAAGTCAATTAAATTTGGAAGAAATATTTCTGATGTACCATTGATTATTAATAAGATGATTGGACCTCATATTTACTTTTAGCAAAGTTTATTTATAATAAGATTTTTTTATATTTTGACTCAATAAACACCATTTTATGCCAATTATGATTATTATTCAAAGCTTGATTTATCAAGTATATCAAACAATGAAAATCTAATAGCTAAAAATATTATAATATAATTGTCATATCTTCAAATAATTTTGAAAGTTTATTTATATGCAACTCAAGATTCTTACAAAATATCTTTAAATAAATTTAGAAAAAAATTCCTTGATTTTCAAGTTGAAAATAAAATATGGCTTCTTTGACAAAATATCAACATCAATTGGCCTTATAACAAGTTGAACTATCAAAGACTATGACCATTTTGTATTCAAAAGTAAATCAATCTTATAACTTATTGATTGGATCTACTCAAATCCATGAAATTATATCCAATATTTTGTATTTATCTCTTAGAGACTTATACAAAATTAACTATTTTAAGAAGAATACAACCATCACCATATTGCATTGAAATAGATATTCATGTAGAATATGAAGTAGAATAAATCTTTGATTCTTAGCAAAGGAGAGGCAAGTTGGAGTATTTTATTTATTTGTATGGCTACAATATCAATGGGCATATATACGAACTAGGAAAAAATCTAATTAATACACCACAGAAGCTACAAGAATTTTATCAATGCTATCCTTAGAAACTTAAACCTATTTTAGAATGACTTCTCTATGAAGTTTCTATTATGATATTGTATATAAAAAAAAGAACAAGTATTACTTACAACAACTTTAGACTTTAGTATATCCAATTTATGATCGAATATGTCAAATTGGAGAGTGTTTAGAGAGTCTTTAGAAGAAGTGAACTACTCTTCACTTCAATTGTTATCAAAGATTCATCTTGGTTTTAATCTCAAAGATTCTTATCTTGTTGAAAAAGCCAATATTAAGAGAGCTTCTTATCTAAGGAATTGCACCTCATTTCACCAATCTAATAGAAATAGATTGAAGAGAAACTAAGACAAACTAAACAAAAGAACTTGCCTTGCTTTGATAAGTAATTATCAATGAATAATAGATGGATGAGAGAAAAAGCACAAAAAACAAAAGAAAAAGAAAAATCATAGTATTATTGAAAGAAAGCTATAGAGAGAGGGAGAAAAAAAAATTATAAGATAAACAAGTTTTATTGCACATATTTAACATGTTCTATTACACGCTCAATGGATCTAATTCTAGTGAAGCTTTATAAAACAATATCTCTATGTCAAGTTAAAGTTGCTAGAATGCTTGTATCTAACTATTTGGATAGCAACTAGAGATAATCCACCTCTTAAATCCATAACCAAAATGAAAATGATTCAAAATGACTCTTGCATCTGATGATTGCTAAAAGTATTACAATAGGAGATTATGAAATTGACCACCACAAAAACTTCAAAACTTACTGCAAACTTTCAAAAATACAAAAGAAGTAACACAAAACTACTTGATGCATTTGCTCCAAGTTCCCATTCAATACCAATCTTAAAAAAAGTCCAGGTATGGCAATGCCACTATAGTAAGAAATGAATGGAAAACTGCCAATTAATTGTGATATATATATGAGATGGATGGAATATCCATCTCATATATAAGTTATATTCAGATAGTCAAGGATAGAAGAAGCTTATGTTTCCAATAAAGCTTGAGAGGACATATAGAGTGTAGTAGTGTATTCTAATGATAACAAAGATGTGCATTCAACCTTCAACTGTGCATTCTTTAAAAAGCTTAAATTGTGCATTCTCTGAAAAGCTTTAATTATGTATAATTTTTATATTTTTTATATTTTTTATATTCCAGTTATCAAATTTGAGCAATAAAAGGTGTGATGGACTTAGCCAATGTTCCATCATTATTTCATGTGGCTAACTTGAACAAAGTAAGATAGTTAATCCAGTTTTCATAACTTAAGCATTTTAATATATATCCAATAAGGGTTAAATAAAAATAGAAATACAAAAGATTCTAAGTATTTTACATAATTTTTTTCAAAAATATAATTTATATAAATGTTTTAGCTAAAGATTCTCTTTGATCCATTTTGAATATGTAAGCCAATCTAATTCCAGCCAATGGTAGGTTACAGAACCAAAAATCTAATTTTTACAAAACTAAGAAGTATGGCACCTAATTATGTTATTATTCTACTCCACCTAATCAACAACTGTCATTTATATCAAAACATATCGAGTCCATCCTACGACACTTTTTTATGATAAAAAAAACAATGTAAATTTAACCAAATCCCAACCTATTTCAAACCATAAAATATCAAAATTGGTCAACAATAGGTTGCCAAACTCACAAAAATATCCACTAAATACTGTTACTTCACATGATTTTTTGGAAATTATCCAAATACTTTAAAGACATAAGTATTGACACGTTATTGTTGTAATATATTCATATCTGTTGATAGGAATATATTTTTCATTAATATCATTTCATCTAAAGTATCTTCTTGTTCTTTTTCTTTTTCTTTCACAATTTCAATTGATATGGTATTTAAGATTGTGCTAATTATTATGATTTTTATTTCAACTCCTTATTTTCTATATTCAGGATCTACTCTATGTTGTAAGATTTCACATTTCACATTTTTCGTTTTTTGTTGTGTTTATTGTATGACATGCATTTATTAGAAAGAGTTATTAATAAGGCATTGATGTTTGTATGGTCTGTGCAGGAAGATTCTTATGTTGTTGGACACAAGTGGTCAAGTTGTGCATCCTCCAATTACAATGAAATTCATTCATGAACTTAATCAATACATGAATCTTTAACATCAATCAAAGTATATGTGTAACTTTACACAATCTAATAGATGACCTTCATTAAACAGTGTTGGAATAAATTGCAGAGCATGTGTATCTAGATATATATATATATATATATACACCTGCTTAAAGATGCTCTTAACATCTTTCAAATAGCATATCATTACTTGTAATAACAATTAAATGCTATGTGTGTATGTGTGTGTATATATATATATATATATATATGATCTCCAAGAAAATAAAAGAAATTTTATTTTTTTTGAATTTATATAATTTAAAATTTTTGTTACAATATATTGAAAACTTTTATGTCTTCCATATACACATATATTTTTCCCTCATTTTAAAATTACTCCTCAACTGTAAATACGAATGGATTTTTGAATAATCTATTACATTGTACTTATAAATATGTATGTACTCGTTAAAATCCATTATCTCAAATGTTTTTCTTCTTGATCAACGAAATTACAAAAAAAATTGCTAAGCAACATTCTTGTCTGAACAAAATTATGAACCCTTTTTATTTTTTATGTTTTTAGTTTGACCAAAAAATAAAGCAGAAGATTAAATTAAGTTTCAAGCTGGAGATGTAATAAGGTACTCAATATAAATATGTAAAAAAACACACATAGATACTTGATTTTTGATATTAATGTTTTTGATTTGAAGAACACAATTACAAAAGATACTTTATGTGCTCATAGAATTTTACCATATTGATATAGATTTTTTTAACCACAAAATAATATATATATATATATATATATGTATTGATGTATTATTTTTTCCGAAATCCACACATGTGAATTTTATTAAAGTAAAAAATTATTTGTGATTAAAGAGTAATTTTACTACTTAAATTTTAATTCTGATTGGAATTCTTTTTGTATAAATTGAGTTTTAAAAAATTAAAAATAAAAAACGGCTTTTAATCTTTATTTACATACATGAATACATACACATAATTTTTGCATTTAAAAATGCAAATTCTTTTAGATAATAAGTAATTCAATCATGTCCTTTCAAGATCTTTTCAAAAGGCATTTGCAATATGTCATCCACAAACACCTTTGAATGTATTTTCACTGAAAGTTTGTCAAATAAAAATTGATAAATATTTTAATAACCTTAAACTTACCCAAAAAGTTAATGCACATCCACATCGATATTATTAGAGTTACCAAAAAAACCCTTCAGTGTTAAATAATGTCATTAAAAATTAAGAAGCTATATCGAAGTAACTCTGTTTATATTTATATTAAAATTCAATTCTTACAAGTTGTGTCCGATACATATAAAACAAACGTAAAGAAAATAATAATGCTTTCTGCTATTGATTTAATACTATCAGTAATTAAATATTAAAATCAATTTATTTTTATTCATCAAGAATCAAACATAATAGTATCATATACATATGAAACTCTGATTCTTATTATTAATATTATCATTGTTTTTGATATTAGTACAGGACAAGTTTTTACAGGAGTTTTACTTTTAGAATAATGTTCACATACATATTAAAAATAAGTTGATAGATGATAAATGAAAAAAGATATTGACCTTTGGATATTGTTAACATATTTAGAATGGCATATGTACTACAACTATAAGGTGCCAATTGAATCCCATAAAAATAAATAAAAAATAACCCATTATCAAATACAAAAACATAAGATAGGATAAAAACAAAAATGTATGAATATATCATAGTCATTACCTAAATTTGTTTTTCTCTTTGATTGGTTTACAATATTTGATGAAGAATCTTTAAGCATATTACGTGGGATTACTTTCAATAGCTTCAAATGTTGAAATAGTTTTCTGGTTCATAAATACAATATAGATTTTGAAAGTTATTTTATACGAAATTTGAAAATCATAAAATAAAACATTGGATATTGGCGTATTAGTTTCAAGCATCAAGCAAAGCTTATACAACGTTGAAATTGTATATATGTATATATATATATATATATATATTTAAATAGCTTTAAGTTTTACTAAAATTTAAAGCTTTTTAAAAAAGAATAAAAAAGAATATAATATTTAAGTGAATTTTAACAAGTATTCAATATCCATACTATAAAGTTAATATTAAAATATGAATGAATTTTTCAATACTAAAGCGTCCTTCTAATTCTGTTTCGTTGTTTCATTTGTAAATGACAATATTGCACTGTATATGTTAAAACTGATTTTATTAAAATTATATTTTAATTTTAAATATTTTTTAATAACTGATTTTAAAATCATTGCATTTATTACTGTATACTACTACATACATGAGTAATTTTTGTAGTTTTTTGGAAGCAGAATTTGATTTGTTCAAGTTTGATTTTTTTATTGGAATCAGATCACCTCTGCATTCAATAGTTATTGTGCATGTATAAAACATGAAATATATTTATTTTCTATAGAACTTAATGAAGTATTCTTGTTGTAAAGTGTATTCTAAAATTAAATATTAATATCATGAAAAATATTATTTTTTGACATAAAAATAATATAACTTTTTGAACTTTCTTTGAACCATATTGGATCAATGAAAATAAAAAACAATTTACTAGTTTATAAATTTGTGTGAAATAGAATGAATGCTACAAGTATGTGTATTATAGGATAATAATAATCATAATGAGTGATTTTAATGTTAAAAAAATAGAAAAAAATCATCCTTCATAAACACACACACACACACACACACACACATATATATATATATATATATATATATATATATGTGTGTGTGTGTATATATAAGTTCAAAAAATTATATCATTTTTCACTTAAAACTTCAACTATGAATCTTTATTGCAGATTGATTTTATGCAATATGGATCATTTTTTATTTTTTTTTAATATTCGTAAATGTTTAGTTTAACATAAAATTATAAAGAACAATTTATTGATGTTTATCAGAAACTGTGTGAAAGTTTTTTTGATTCAACTTACTTGACATATTGCTTTTCATTGAAACATGCTGCATTCCTGTCGGATTGAATGTCTTCAAGACAGCTTTGCAAAAAATTTACCACCTGTTTCTTATTTTTGATTCTCGTCTGCAAAGTTTCAATTTTAACATGAATGCAGTTGATAAAATGACTGCAAACAAAATGGAAAAATTCAATTTCATATTACTTAAAGACAATATTTAAGAATTGAAACTTTATGATTTAAAATAAATAAATAACTTGATTGTGATAAGAGATAATATCTAGGATACATCTCAAATATATTTAATTAAATAGTTAGATAGTTTTAATTATTTTTCTTTGGTTTTTGTATGCTATTTATCTAATGAAATATTTTTAATTATTTATATGTGTATATGTATATAAATGTATATAATAATTTACCAAAATATTTATATTTTGTAAAGATTGTAAATTTTTTATGTCCATCAATTTCTTCTCTACATTAATGTCATTTTTTTGTTTTTCTTTCTTGATTTCTGTTTTAGTATCAAACCAAAGAATTTATTTTGTTAGGCACGTTTCTTATCATTCTATTTTTTAGAAATAATTTAAAGTCATATTGCTTATTAAAAGAATTCATCATTTATGCATGCATAGTCTGCAAGTACGTATCATTCCCTTTTCTTGCACAACTGTTCCGGACAAATATATAACATTATTTCTTTATCTAGAAATTATATATATTGGGCAACATTTCAAATCAAACTTTATAGTTACATTTCAACTGGAATTAGCTTATTTAAAATTCTGAAGATTAATTGAATTAATTACTAAAACACTTGTACTTGTGTTTCTACAAAAAAAATCATTAATTATTTAATGGATCACAAATAAATATCCACAATATGTAAACATTTAATTGAATATCATACCTTGAAGTTTATGAAGTAATACTTGAATGGTTTGTTGATAAATATAATTTTTGCGTACCACATCTTCCTCTGACTTTAAGTCCAATTCCAATAAAAATTATTATTTTCTGTTTTTGTTTATTTTATCATTCGTTTTGGTCTTAATAATATGGCATCTTAGAAATGAGACTATTATTTTAATAACTTATTCTTTTATAAATCTTGAAATATCATATTTCTACAAAAACAATTTTGTTGAAGCAATTGAAAAATATTATCTAATATATGAATGCCAAACTCATATTTAAATTTAAAAAAATACATGATATGTGTAAAATAAAATTATTACCTCTTTAGTTAATTGGAGAGAGCGAGAAACCTCGGATTTTTCTTTATCTAGACTTTCATTGAGTTGAAACATAATTTGTGTTTGATGAATGTGGTATGCCACCTCAGCTTTTAATTGTTCATTTTCCGCAATAGTCATTTTTGTTTTCTAATATTAAAATTTGAGTTAATTATTACAAACTTCATGTGGGTATGATACAAATTATATTATTACCATTATTTATTTTTTAATTAAATGATATATTGATATACTTTCATCAAATAACATATTAATCATACACTTGATAATCTTTCTCAATTGATTTTTTTATTATAAAATCATTCAAAGTTTAAGAAAAACTAATGATGTTTAAAGGCATTCCAGTTTGAAGAAAAATAATTAAATAAATAAAATCATAAATAATTATTTAAAAAAATACTTTAAAATTGACCAATCAACCAACTAAACATACTCCATTTATTCAACAAACAACACTTCTTTCTTACTATTACTATGTTGACATTACCTGAAAACTTAAGAATTTAATTTATAATTCATTAGAATTGATATTAATATGAATGTATGTGTATAGAGTTGAATGTATAATTCACCCAACAAAAACAAATAAAACAAATTACAATGTGAAGTTGGTCTTGAAGACCGTCAGAATAACTTTTTTTTGTTTCTTCCACCCGAAGTATGATTTCTTTTTTAAGACGCTCTTTCTCTTGCACTGATACTCTTTCAACGTCACTAATTGCCTCCACATGATCCCTTTGCTCCTTCAATAATTGTTCTTTTAACCTACACAAATACAAATTCTACAACATGGAATAAAAAATAGCACACTTGTGAACAAAACATAAGGGAAAAATTGCTACATGATTTAATTATATATATACATAAAAACATTACAAAAATTGAGTTGAAAACAACTATTTTGTTTTTCGAAATGTCATTTGTAATGAAGCATTTCGTATCAAAAAATAAATAAAAATAAAATAGATTTTAAAACTCCATTTTCAAATGTTTATCTCAATATATAAATATAAACTTTCAATGGAGTTAACTGTAATCATATTTCAAACTACCTTTACAAAATGACAGTGACTTTGTTTGAAATAAACGATTTATATATGACCTTGAATGAATTTTTATGTTATGCGCAGCGTTATCAGTTCATTAAACATATTTAAAAAAGGACGAAATATTTCTTTACGTGTTATATTATGATAATGTAGACATACACTGCATTTTCATTTTCTATGGCTTCTTTTTTGGCAGCGAAATTGGTGAGTTCTCTTAATCTCACTTGTACAGCATCTAATTTCAACTTCATATTATTCAATTGAAATTCATGGGTATTTGCCAGTTCTACCATTTCCTCATTCTTGCAAGCAATTGTCTCTTTTCTACTTCTTTCTGATAAATCAAGAGCAACCTCTAATTCTTTAATTTTTATTTCTTTATTATTTCCTTCACTGATTCCATAAGCCAACATTTTCAAATCTTCAAAACAAAGTTAATTTTTTTTCTATTTTATTTTATTTCCATTTCTGTTTACATGATAATTACAACAACAACAACAACAACAACAACAATAATAATAATAACTACTTTTAAATCTTAAATCACACTGGAAGAAGGTAACACACATTATCATTTCAATCAACAAAACACAATCCACTAATTATAAACACTTCTCAAAAGGCATAACCCAATGAGTCAATACTAAAGCTCAAACAGGCAAGCAACCATGAATTCCAATTTTATGTTCATACCTTGCAAAGTAAGTTGCAAAAACAGCCGATGTACTATATAAGACCATTGCTAATTGAGAATGCTAATTAGAAATGCATGGCAACAAAGGCACAAAAAAGGAACACAACCTGGTGAGGAATGCGATGATCTCGGTCAAGGAGGCAATCTTGTCTCTCGATCCAATGCTCAGCTTTTCCATGTTGCTCAGAATGAATGAGGATCTCTCCTCAAGACGCTGCATCTTGTCCCGAATTGTTATCACCTCCAAATCCTTTGCGAGCATGGCCGCTTTGAGAGCATCCACCTCGTCCACGCCACCGGCTTTACCATCTTTTGCCATTTGTTTTTCTAGGTCTTGCTAGTGTGGTGCCCTGTACCCCCCCTCAACAAGTTTCCTGAACAACAATGAGAATTATTAGGTCAAACGCAAATGATCTCAAACTTCTGTGCACAAATCCCAATCTAAGTCGTCTTGTGCACATAGAAATGGTTCTAAGAATCCATTCTATTGCAACATTAAGTGCAATTCTTTGATATTTTGTGTGGTAACTTGTGATACACTAAGTTTCATCTGGCATGAAAAACTTTGTTGGTGATATGGGATCCATAAATATGGAGAAAAAAACAAACTTCTCCCGCATTCCCTGCACATTATTATGCCTTGCTATTGAAACCCACAAACACTACTCATTGTCCCTTGATGAGCCATTCAACACACATCATCCTCCATTTCTTTTTTCACTTGTCTTGAGAGGAGAAATAAAGACCATCAACAAATAAGGGCTGTAATTTGGTAGTGAACATACAAATGTAGCACAATTTGTGTTGAATTTTGGCTCTCTGAAATGTCCAAACAAAATTACAATTTGGGCGTAAAACCCTCTCATGTGTAAAAACTCAACAAGGAACTCAGTTTAATGTATAAAACCCCCTTAAACCTGGCAATGGCACCCACTAAAACAGATACATTTGACACTAGAGAGGTGACTGAGTGAAGAGGTGCAAGTGATGAAGAGAAAGAGAAAAAGAGGTTTTATTAATGAGATGTTATTAAAAAAAAACATAAGTAAGAGATAAGTGATACCAAAAGATTCAACTATTGCAAAAAATCAAATTTAAAAACACAGTAATAAATCAAGTAAAATAAACGAAAAAGAAAAAGAGAAAGAAAAATTATATTGATTCACATAAACACACATATAAGTGTATTCGTATGTCTTAAATGGTCTTTTATATCTTTACAAGTACGTACACAATTTTTATAGTTATTTAACTACCATTTATAAATTTTAATATATAAATAAGTAAGTGTCTACATGTGAATCTGAATCCAAAATTAGATTCAAATTTTGTTTTCATTGTATAGTATTGAAACATCAATATTAAACATTAATAAAAATAAGAATAAAACTGTAGTTACAAAAAAGTAGGTTATGCTTAAAATATCATAAGTTATACTCTAGCATAAATCAACACATCTTAAGATATTTGAGTAACTCATAAGTAAACATGTAAATATTATTTTAATTTCAGGATTAGGTTTATTGTGGTGTACATATCAATTAATTAAAACTTGAAACCATACAATCTAATTCATTGTTCATATTTTAAAATAAAATGAGTTAGCTGATGATGTGAGTATTATTAAGCTATATATATATATATATATATATATTTAATGCCCTCCTCAATACTTAGAAATTATTGTTTCAGAACATGAAAGCATAATTAAAATCTACATAGAAAAAAATATAAAAAATAGAGAAAATCTTGTGATTCATATTTGATCATACATATTTATGGTTGTTTTTGGTTTTTGAATGCAACATGTTCATATTTTCATTCAAATACCAAGATTAATTTAAGATCGAGTGATGATTATTCAATCCAAAGAGTATCAATTAAGAAATTTTATTTTTGAAAAGATAAAAAATAAATTAGGGTTTTCTTAACAAAAAAAACGGGTGTACATAAAAATTTCTTCAAATATTGGAATTAAATGTCGTGTTCAGCATTTACTATTATTCGCATTTCTACTTTAAGATTAAGTGTGATTGTATTCCTCTTTATACATTTACTGATTTTCATTTTTTTTTTTTTTTTTTTTTTTCCTATAGCAATAACCATATTTGTATTCCTATCAACCAGTTAGTGCAATGGCTTCTTTGTATGGAATGATATCATCCAAATTATTTCAGCCTTAGTTACACCATATATCTACATTTTTGAATGCTCAAATTACAAAAATAAGAAATAAATAAACATTTTTTACATCTAATCAAAATTTCCATAGTCATTAATAAATATCCTATTCATGGATAACAAAACATGTCACTGAATGCAACAATGTTTGGTGTGCCCTTCATGAGTTGCACTGAAATAGGTCAACAAATGAAAATGATGTGCTAGTCACCTGGCATGAGTTGGAACAATAGAAGAAATCCATAAGAATATGTGTTATAAAATAGATAATAAACAAGCCATAAGATGATCTCATGCAATGCTTAACTCAATAACAAAGACATTAATCTGAGCACAATAGAAAACAAAAGTTTGAAAACAAGAACAATCTCACTTAAAATAAATCCTGTTGATGAGATCTTAAAATGTAAGGCATTCATGTGCCAGTAATGAAAACAAGGTTCACTTCAATTCTATACATCAAGAATTGCTTTGTAATTGACCTTTTCACCAACAAGTTTGCATGAAACGCCTTTTGATGTTACCTGCCATGTATTTCCCAATTTCTCCATCAATATTATCCACACTACTGCTTGTCCCTACCATGACACCTTGTTTATTTGCACTTTGCATCCTGCTGAAAGCACATGCTAAAGCCAATTAGTGCAAAGGGTGCATCTATCAGTAGCACAAGATTTATACACTCTGATGTATAACAAAACTACAGAGGATGTCAAACTTACAGCTTGACACTGAGCATCTAAACAAAACAGCAGAAAAGATATCAAACAGGGCAATATCCAAGCCTATACCATGGAACCCAACAAGCTCAAAGATGCATCCAGATGCTCAAGAGTATAAACACCAGTTTCTAAGCACTCAATAATCTAAATGAAAAAATTCAAAAGCAGAGGTAATAAAAATAAATTTACTTTCTAGAATCACCTCTCGTGTCTCCTCAGAAGCTTCCATAGCATTGCTGTCGCTCTGAACATTCATGAGAGTGGCATTTTGATTTGGGTCACCATCAGTAAGTGCTAGTTGTGAAGCGGAACAGGGACCATAAGTGATCCCTAGAGCCAACTGATTGAGTCGCGTACTTGCCAATTTACCTGCTATTTCTCCGTCTCCAACCTACAGTAATTACAAGATACACTTCCTTGTTACATGAAATTTAAACTTATTTAATACCTCATGTACGGAAGTTCATAATAATGAAATAGAGGAATACTTTGAGTGCAAACACCATGCAAACGAAACACTATCAACCATTTAGAAACACAAAAGAGCTTGCAAATCAAGAATAGAGACCATTCAAATATTCCTATCCACAGCAATTACGGTTGGATGAGACATTTTAAGTCAATGTTGTTTAAAAACTTTGTCAGGAAAGGATTGGGAAGAAGCTTGAGACTCTAGATAGTTGTGGGTCTCATCACCTTATTACTTGCAGCCATAGCCACATCACGGGCAGTGACAGTGCGCGTCATTTGATCCCGCATTTGGCATCGACGTACTGTCTTGATCTCTTCCTCGAGAGTCACTTTGTCACTTTTTAATTTGTTCATTTCTAATAGCAACTGATTTACTGTGTTCATGAGATCCATCTTTTCAACTGGAATACGTCCACCTGATCTTGGCTGTCTCACCAGGAACTGCATCACTTGTTCTAAATTAGTCACTTTGAAGGATAAAAAGAAACTAGGTAGCCAATAAGCTGTTATAGATTCAGATGAACCACATTAAACATAACACACAACACAATATTCTATAATAGCGACGTGTATGTGATACTCCGGAATAGTCATCAATCACAATAACTCACGACAGAATTGATTTGTTAACCTTGTCGTGAGCGATTGTACTGGATCGAACAGCTCAAAAAATGGAGATTCAAAATCATTGCAACATTATTATTCATTCAAGTTTAGAGATACAATCGGGTCAAGTTGATCGGTGGGAATAAATATTGCATTTTTATGTACGTGGAACAAAATCTAAGAAACGGCTATAAAGATCTCAAGAGAACAACCATAGACCTTCATTCTGTCGGACTACCTTTTGATTAAGCTTCAAAGTCTCCAATTCAGTCTTTAACTTCTCATTCTCCTGCATTTCCATTCCGATGGTAGCTAAATTTCTTCTCACAATACTCAATATGAGTTAAATCGTTAAAATACAGCCTAAGCGTTGCGTTGTAATAAAGCTGGAAAGACGAATGTGAGTCTAACGTATTTTTTGTTAAAGCTCTGCTAGAGAAGAAATATTGACTCTTTATGAAGGACGAACATAGTACCTTCCGCAAGTTGAATACTTGGGAAACAAGTTGAGACCGCGCAGAAGTTTCATCCTTCAGGTTGACTTCCAGCATGTCCTTTGCAGCTTCAAGGGACTCAATTCTACTTTGCAACACCTTACACTCATGCTGAATTTCGCAGAATCGATTACTTTCTGCAACTCCTTCTTCCTCCTGATACTTCAACTTTGCCTTCAATTGCTTCACTTCCGCACAATACAAGTTCTGTAGAACATTTCACCGTTGTGCATGCAAATACAGTTACGTGGGTAAGGGTAAGAACGAAGAAAAGTTTGCCCAGGTTCGGCTGTTAGATTTCAAATCTCTCGCACTTCTCATCTAATCGGTAGTTTCTATTTAAGTCTAATACGGTATCATTGGGAACGTATACTCTCTTCTACATTTTTAAAAGTAGCTTAATGTGGATTTGCGTCTTAAATTTTTTGGTTGAGTACCATGATACAGAGACGTGATAGTTAAATAAGGGTATTTCCAGATCTCTTCTAAACACGTCACACCGTCGATCTTTCAATCCAAGTTATGGCCCACTACTGAATATGTACAAGGGACAGAATAAAACCGCTTGTGTTGAAAAGGTGGAGGTTGTTAGTACGAAGGTTATGTGTTGTCCATTTCCAAAGGGGAAGTAAAGAGAGAAAGAGCGTTTGAAAGCATGCCCTCATAACACAATTTTTTCAGTAAAACATGACGTCCGTCATCTTCACCTATGAGTAACTTACATTACCTGCAAAGATTGTAGCTCCTGACGAAGTACAGTTTTCTCGTGAACCATATCATCGTTGGCAACCGCGGTGGCATTATTTGGTTTACGATCAGAAATACTTGTTCTTGTCTCCCGATCACGTGCAAGTTGAAGCTCTGTTTTTAGGTCCTCGTTCTCTTGCTTCAACTGCACGCAGGGGAATGCTCCTTAAGCATGGGAAAACCTACTTGACATAGGTATTTTATTGAGTTGGAAACTACTCTCGGATGTATCCATTTAATTAGAGTGCCAAAAGCTGTAACTGGGCTGTAAGTATCTTGACTAATATTTGAAGGTATCGAAAGAAAATGGCTTACTTTTCCACGAATAAGTACAAGAGTATCATTCTTGGCGTCCACAATCACCCGCAGCAAAGTAATTCCAGCTTCAAGCCTCTCCAACTACATCCAAGGTAAGAAATGGACTCAAAATATTAGATGCCACATCCTTACATTGACTAGTGATTCACATTGCATCCAAGAAAGGACCACCCGAAGTCAATTGGTGATGAGAATATAAACACCTGATGCAATGTACACGTTCGAGAAATTGGAACAACGTGCAAAACTACATGCACATTTGACATTGCCGATGCCAGAAGGGCACAAATATAATTGGTACAATCACATAATCACCCACCAGAAATTCTTTTGGAAGTCCATTTCAAAACCTACCTCAGAGGTCATCAGCTCGGTGACGCCCGGTTTGCTCGGTAGATTCCGGGTCAACTTCGTCACGTTGGTTCCTGAAGGCTTAAATGTTGGAAGGACATGCCTCTGAAAGCCCTCAACGGAGTCGGCAAGAGCTGTAACTGTACCAGACGTTTTAGATAAAAGCTCTTTCAAGCCTCGTAGCTGCTCCATGATGCAGGTCTCATTAACTTCTGCATTATGTTTCAGTTCCTCAACAGTACGCATCGTGTCATGACTGTCATTTACAGCCTTCTCTTTCTCCGCTAGGGCTTGGAGAAGTTGAGCAGAAGTAGATTGTAGCAAGAACTTCATCTGCTCAACCTCTCCTTTTAAATGCTGTGTAGCAGCCTGTACAAGGGACGCCACCTCAACATCGCGATGGTCCCGCAGCCTTTGCAGCTCAATTCTCTGCACATAAGGAAATTTGTTCACAGGGAGGAGGTAGCAAAGCCTGGGTGATAACCATCAGAATCGGATGCCAAGTATATACATATCGGCAAGAAGCACATCTGAGGTGTGGAGTGCATGGTACGCCCATGAAAGATATATGCTTCGACGGATCTTTGAAAGTGTTACGCTTCGGCAAAGAGCAAAGCACAATGTCCTCCATCTCATTCTCCAGGCCACTGGAAGGAGGGAGGGCGCTGTGCCACTTATATCAGCTCAAAGACCCTATCAATCCAGGGTACCACGGGATCCCAGACTGGAACCTCAGGGAATGCTCAACAGCAGGTCTAGCGGTCGAGTTAGAAAACTGACCTGATTCTTTTCTCTGGCAATGATGTCATTAAGTTGGTAGCGTAAAAGATCATTTTCATTGCGCAAGGTCCGAGAAATAACACGGGCGCCGTCTTTAACATCATGATGGCTCTGCTTGGGGACCTACAATCCATGACAGGTAACAGCCATGATCTACACTGGTTACTCACCGAAGAATACTGAGGTATCAAGCTTGTTCTGTTCTCCCGCATTGGCAAAATTTGATGGAATAGTCATAACAATTTTCTCGACACTAATCTTCTCAGCACTTCCGGGAGCAGAGAATACACAGTCTCAGTCTGTCTATGTGATTGGAAAGATTAATTTGGCATTTTTAGAGCGACTTGAATTTCTTAAGCTTCAATTTCACTGAGTAAGAATGATCGTTCAACTTGTGCAAAGGTGGCAGACCTCCTGCGCAAAGACGTCCCCTCCAGGCAGCCAAGACCCTGTACCTGCACAAAGAAACGAAACCTGTCATTAGAATTCTGCAACCGTGTTTTCCAATGATCACAGCAACATGTCTAATGAACCCATCTTATCCCGTGTACTTCTCGCAAGTTGTATAAGCCGTTTGCTTTGGGACAGAGATCCGAATAGTGAATACTGGAAGTGAACAGAAGTTCTACTCTGGGGCCATCACTGAAATTAAGGACGGAATTATCTGAAGAGTAGTGAGCTTGCCGACCGACGAAGAATAACGTAAGACTGTCACTTCATCTTGTTACCAGTTTATATTCTGTCTCTTTTCGTATAAAGATTAGGATCGGATCCCCTGGTCAGAGGGCTGATTGTGAAAGTAATCCCATGGTAAGTTGTTGTGTACACCAGAATTTCACACAACACTCCAGCTACCCAACGTCGAGAGTGAGAGATATCATGCACATGATCCCAATTACGCTGATCTGAGATCACCTAATTCCTCATAACTAGAGCAACACGCACGCCAAATGCTCAACCGTGCTATCTCCAACCTGCTGCTCCTGAATGAGAATGAGCCGCCCTCAATTTATAAAAATCAGACGACAAAATCCAGTCGGAAGGCTTCCATCGGTACTCATCCCCCCAGTTCCGAATGGATTTTATTCAATTAGTCAATTTTCTTGGAGGCGCTGGCTAGACGTATTTTGATCCAGTGACCACATAGTGTTTCGTCGGCTCATCTTATGAACTCTGGCTTTGTAAGTTTACGCTATTAACAAGCTGCCCCATATTCTTCTGGCTGGTTTACTCGAACCGATTACTGTAGAATCGCGAAATGTGATGAGGAACGTGGATAGCCATGTTTAGGAAGTTTCAGATGCAATCCCACGCCTGGGCTTTAGGGCTTTTGACGATTATGCATACATACCCATTTCACTACTCCAAAATAAAACCCAGCCAAGGAGCCTACCTCAAAAACCGCTTCAAACAATCAACCGCCAAGAAAAACTCTAAAAAACATTCGCCAAGGCGTCGACAGGTAAGCAGGCGAATGCCGAGATTCAGAGCATTAAATACTCTTATTCGTGTACATCCTAATGCGGGAATATAGCCTCCTATTATAAAAATTATGTGAAATTAAAGGCAGAAGCGTCGTAGTTACAGAGAGATGAAGCTCGGCGAACAGGTGAAGACATTGAAGCTGGGTATATACTTCTACATTGCAGACCGTTCCTCCACCTATTCTTGGATGATGCTCAGTGTTGCTAACTTCCGCTGCAACAGATCGCAGCGATTTCCGTGATGAGAATGGTCCGGGGTTTGTGTGGCACACCGTTGGAACCGCAAACCAGCATTAAGAAAAATCGTAGTGTTATACAGGGGGGGGTCATGTACACTGCTGGTGACGACGTCGGGGTGTTCATTAAAGCGCCATAGCCATAGCTATAGCCAGCGGCAGCAAGAGGTTACAGCGAATTAGGGGAACGCGGGTTGATGCGATGGTGGAAGAGACTGTGAGCTCGGCTTGGGCTCCGAGACACCGGCGCCGATCTTGTGTCACGATGGAAAAACAAAAAGGTGAAAGCTTCCCGCTGGGAAAGCAAAAGGATCCTTGGACAACCTCACGGCGGTTCCATCTCAGCCGTCAGTTGCGAACGGCTCAGATCAAAGGTTGCATGGACAACCACCTCCTTTTGTACGCGTTCGAGTCCTCTTTGTTCCTAATGTTCCCTATTCTGTTCCCAGCGCTCGCGATATGTTTGGCACTTTATAGAAAGGTTTCAAGTACAAGTGATGACGTGGCTGGTGCGTATGCGTGGACACCTGCATAATACCAAAATGACAAACTAAATAAATCTATATATCTCAAATATTAAAAAATATTATTTATGGTTTTCAAATAATATTATGGATGAATTTACAATTACTACGATGTTTTCATAAAAAGAAATTATAAGAATAAATAGTAGATAATATTTATAAGTAATTTGAAAGATTTTGGATGCATGATTTTTCCAGATTATATGCAAATATATATGCATGATTTTTAGATTATTATTTTCGTATATATATATTTGCATCCAAGAATATGTAATCTTTGATATCACATAAGTTTGCTTCTTTAACAATTTTACTACATTTTTATGTCATACTTATTTTAATTGAATATACTATTTTTTTTATTCTTTTAATGTGAGTATAGCAAACCATCACTTGGTTTGTAACTTACAAAATTAAGTCATCGTAACTTAATTATTATTTCTTTTTTATTGTCTAAAATTAAAATAATATAATCAACATGAAAGTAAAAAAAAAAAAAAAAAAAAAAAAAAAAAAATACAACAACAACAACCATCAACATATTTCATCTCAAAAATTTTGGGGATAAATTATTTAATACCTTTTAACCACACCAAGATCTGTAATTAGTATGTGTCAAACTATTTGCAAAGTGCCTTTGGGACATGAAAGTCTAGTTTATAGTGTGTCACACTAATTGAGAATACACGCTAATAATAATAAGCTATTTAAAAATAGTGTGATACACACTGTTTAAATTCACACTTAAAATAGTGTGTAGACCTGTGGTAAAGTAGATGCTCATTTCATAGCGAACACAAAGAGAGTTGTAAAGCATTGGGCATTGAAAACAGGAAATAGAGAAAACATAAAGAAATAAACAAAGGAATAGAGAGAGAGCACATCACATTATAGTTGCATCACATTATAAATCTATTCTTAGAGCTTCTGAAAAATTAGAATTCTAGCTCAGAGTAAATTGTGATCCACTGTTAAGGCTTTTTTCGAAAATATCTTTCCGTTTCGCGGGCTATATTCAATTTCCTCGCATTTCAAATAAATTGAGACCTGCGCGTTTCCTCCACTTCAAATTTGTGCTCTGTGTGTTTGTATGTATGTATGTATGTATGTATGTTTTAGTGTGTGTGTTCGTTTGTATGTTTATGTGTGAAATTGTGGCGTCTGTGCTTGTTTAAATTTATTTGCGATCAATTCCAACATGGCGAAACTTAGCGATTGATCACGCGGTTGGAGTTTCACATTGTGGCCGAATCCTGACTGAAGCAGCTCACCTGATAAAGTTTCCTCTTTCTTATCTCTTGTGCTGGCGCATCAGAGGTTCGTCGAGCACGGCTGCAATTCAATATGTGTGCAATTCACTCTTTCGTGGAAAAGTTTCGGGTTATTTAAACAGCGTCCATTCGACGAGTAATACTTCGGTCGGATGCAATTTTGAGCTATTGTTAACTTTGCCGCTCTTCATTGCTGATGAGGATTGCAGTCTCAAGGTAATCTGGCTCCACACATAGGATATGTGCTTTTCTTGGTGAACATTGCTCTTAGACTTACTGTGGATTCACTTTATTAAATTACCAACGATATCTCTGAAAGTAGAGTACGAGCGTAAAATGTATGCTTTTCAGAGAGCGTGAAATAAGAAAGTCGAATTCAGAATTTTGTTATTTGAAAAGTCTAATCAATCTGAAGTTTACAAGAGGGCAGTTCGACTGCAAGTGGACTTCTCACAGAAAAAATTCCCTCCACTTCTGCTGCGTTTACAGAAAGAGATAAATCTTCGTGCAATTTGTTAGGCCTGTATGGACGATCCGTGATTGCAAAACTGATTCCAACTTCCACCCTCTCATTGTGAGCATTTGTCATTGCATTCCGTGTTCCAGGCAACAATGAACCTGATCACTATCGCATTCAATGTGAGCAATGTTCAATATTGCCCAGAAAATTGAACCTAATCTTTATTGCATTCACTAATGCAAAGGCTGTTTGTGAGCATTTGCCATTAGGTCTAGTATATACCATTTCATATATGAGACTACCTATTCTGTATACATATAAAATACTAGACCCATACTTGCATTTATATTCAGTAATATATATATATATATATATATATATATATATATCACTAATGATAATCTTAAATAAAATGCTAAAAAAATACTAATTGATTTTGCATATTTATATTGGTGTGCATCACCACTTTTTAAAACTAATTCTCTTATTATATTCAGAATCTTTTAGGTATTAATATCTGAAACGTTCTTATATATTTCATGATAAAATTTCTATTCAATTACATCTATAATCTATTAGTAATAGATTTTCTATATATCTAATATATAATTTTTATCATTTTTATGTTTTGATCTCAATCATCTTGTATTATTTAATATATGGAATAAAATATATATATATATATATATATATATATATATTACATCTTCTTTGAGTAATTATTTATAAAAAATATATAATACATTATTTCAATTTTTGAAGTAGTTGGTGTCATTTTTTATATATCTTAGTATGCATAGTTTGGAATATTTTTAGTATAATAGAAAATAAACTTAAATTTCATTCTAAAGGTGTTTTTTAAATATATAATATTCAAAAAACTCAACAATGTAAGAATAATCTAAATTCCTTTTTTATAGTCAAATATATTGTATGTAAGAATTGGTGTATGTATAATAATAGAAGCCTTTATTTATTTATTGACTCTAGCTACAAGCATACCCCAAGTTACTATATGCACACTCTTTATATTTATACACACATCCTTTTCTCCTTTGTTTGGATGTGGGTTCCAGCCCCCTCTCCCTCTTCTTTGCCTGTGCGCATGCCTTAGTTTCTTTTTCACAAGGAAGAGAGGAAGGAGGGAACCATGACTTGCATTGGGACAAAGCAAAGAAGACAGAGGAGATCAAAATCAACTCTAAGGCAATGAAGAGAGGGAGGAGGGGATCATGACATGTTTTGGAACAAGAAAAAGAAAGCAGAGGAGACTAGAATCTATACTAGAGCAATGAAGAGAAGAAGAGGGGCCAAAACCCATGCCAAGATAAGAGGGAAAAAAGAAAAGGATCAAGATCCAAGCCAAGTCTATAAAAAAGGAATTTAGATTAGCCAATTAGAAGCTTTGGATGTATATTTACACATAATGGATTTGCATATAGCAACTTGGAATGTGCTTGTAGCTTGAGCCTTATTTATTTGATCTAATTATATATGCCAAAATAAAATTATATCTACTGAATTTTTATTTTGAGTAAGTAAATTTAATAAATTCATATATTAGAATGCTTCCTATTAGCCAATTTAAATCTATGAACATTTTGTCGTTTATAACTATGTAAGTTTTTTAAAACTTTAAATTTTTTGTTCTTTGGTATTTATAACTTGATTACTTATATATGTATATATATATATATATATATATATATACATATTTTTGTATATTTAAAAAAAACTAGCCTATCTAAGTAATTAAATTTGATATTTTTTAATATTTTATTATATTTTTTATTATTTTATTATTTTTTAGTATCTAACTTTATTAAAATTTATTTATTTTATTCATCTAATTAAACTTAATATTTAAATTTAAAGTTTTTTTACAATGTAATTTTTATGTTATTATATCTTCTATAAATGATATTATAAAATATAATTCTTCATTATTTTGTCTTTTCATCTAATTAGACAAAATAATAAAAATTTCTTTATCTAACTTTTTTGCATGATTTATATGAAAATAAAATGATTAGATACTTGAAGAATAGAAACAAAAAAGTTAATAGCTATTTTTTTTATTTTTATCTTTTAATTTGATATTAATACTTGTCAATTTATAAAAGATTTTGTTGAAGGCATTTGAGTACTATAATATAATAGTTTTTTTTTTTTTTTTTTTTTTTTTTTTTTTTTATCTTTGTTTTTATGTGCAATATATATAATTATTGCTTCATACATAGTTAATTTGTTAACAATCTTATTATATATAAACTCTCTAGTTTTTTTCATAAATTTTGTTTAAAATATTGATTTATAATATTATAAAAGAGCCAACCTATAAGTTTTAATTAAAATACATTTATTTCTCTCATAGTAACGTCTTTATATTCTTTATTAATCTTATTTGTGTATACTTTCCGAATTATTTTTGTAATTCTTCTTGCACAAGTAGATCATTTATTTTCAATTTCCACAACCAATTCTTGTTCTTTTTGTCACTTTTTTCTATTTTAAATTTCAAATCTTTATTATCATTGCTTCATTTTATTAAAGCTTTAATGATAATTGCTAAAAATTTGGAAATGAATAAAATATAAAATACACATATAATATATATATATATATATATATATATATATATGCATACAAATATAATAGATTGGCATATATAATTAGATATTATATATAAAATTATTATTATTTTTAGTTAGATCTTAGTAAAACAACTCATAACAATATATATATATATATATATATATATATATTTATTGCCACTTGAGATATGATTTTTTTGAATGAAACAAATAAATAATCCTTGCATACATATGCAACAAGAAAATAATTAAAAATCTTATACTGCACACTAACTACATATTATGTACACTTTAAAATTACTAATATCTAAAATCATTGCAAAGGTTTCTTGTAAAGCAAATTCTAGTAACACTTTTAAATACCTATGATATTCTCTCTCCCCTTCTCTTTTTACAACAATATCACATTCTAAGATGGCTCAATAATGCAAGCTAAATATCTAAATAATATCTAAATGACATATATATGAAAACATCTCTCTAATCTATTTGACTGGAATGGATGTTTGTAACAATAAATTGAATTTTTGTAAATATGTTTGTAACAACAAATTAAATGTTTTTTTGTATGTTTATGGAGTAAGTCAGAAGAAGCTCCAAAACCCCTTTCATTTGGTTCTTTTTTTTCTTGTCCCCATGTATGCTCGGTCACCAAAGAGGAAACTTTCACGCACAACTGACACAATTGCATGGATCTGCGCAGCACTTTGACCTCACTCACAGGAGCACACACTCTCTCACTCCCTCAGAGGAGGAGGAACCACATGGAGCGGTGGAGGGGTCAACGCCATGACTCTCTCTCTCTTTCTTTTTAGTTATACACACCATGTAGTACTTTTCAAATATAAATAAATATATATCTATATATATATATATATATATTAGCTTCCAAATAATTTCTTCTTGCCATCAATTTTTACAGAAACTTCTCCACAAGTTGACTGCAGTAAATGACAAACGGCGAGCTCCACAACAGCGCGGCGGCCACTGACTCGGAGCACCACTAACAACAGAACCCAACAGAGTAACGGTGGAGGAGATATGCATTACAATAATACTAATATTAGGCGCCTGGCGTCAGGTGGCATCGTCGATTTTGTCCGGACCCGACCTTCCTGCTCACTTTCCCTCCTCATTTCGATTATAATGATTAACACTCGCTAGCGCATCGGCGCTGCACATTCCGCAGCTCGATCCATTGTTACTTATTTTTTATATATTTTCTTTCTATGAAACATGGTGAGGTAAATGCGGATCCTAACATATAGTTACGGAATGGGATCCTGAAACTTACGGACCCTAGTAGATGGAACTTTGTGGCCCCAGATGACATTGTCTAGTAGTATTATGATCGTTAACTGGTTTTGTGGCTCTAATCCACACAGTTTCGAATCTGTTGTTTCCGTGACCAGATAGCGCGAGGAATAAGGTGGTGACAAAGCCCAGGTGCAGAAAACGTCCTGCTTTCGCCCAACTCCATGTGGATGCTTAGCTGACTTTCATCGCTATCCGGGTTTGAATATAAATCGGGTTCCCCACAACCTGCGCTTTTGCAGGTTTCGCGTTTGTTTTTCTAGACTTGAGAGTCGCGCAATTCGAGGAGTCGTGGGCAAGGCTTGCTTCCAGGACTGCCTGGAATATCCTCGCTTGTGGACTTCTGCTGTTGAGATCGAACCAGAATTGCTTATGAGATTTCGATCTATATGGTGACCTTGTAGTGAACGAGTCACGTGAAGCAGGCCAGTCGCAAGTTGCGCAACGCCTGATGCGGCCGGTACGGTTTGTGTCCACGCTCCGTCGCACTGAATGAGCTTCACAAGTACCTTCCACCTTAGACTTTATATACTCCTTGGGTGCATTGAGCCAGAGTCGAAATCCAGTCGAAATTTAGAAGAAGATGCTCAACGACTCTTCCGGAGGAGATCCAGGGATAGGGAGCTATTTGGGCGGGTGAAAGGAGTGTGGAACGGTGGAGACAGGGGAGCCTGAGAGGGAATCTAGGTGGAAGTTCCTGGTCGATTGGAGGGTTTGCAGACTGCTTCTGAGAGGAGTTCGCAAGAGACGGATTAGATTTCAGAGCTACATCGGATAACTCTCGTGTGTTGTTAGGTTCGTGGGTCTGGTTGTTTGCGAGTGCGTTACCTAGTCGCAGCGCCGATGGCCATGGTAAGTGGGACTGAGTTCGAGCTCGTGGTTGAAGTTAGAAGACAGTTGGACAAGGTCAATACGATGTGCATGAGTTTGTAGAGGTTTTCTGTCGAGTTGAGTATATAGGAGCGTCAGAATGACGATGACAAACATGTAACTACTGAGTTACACCCGGGAACAGACATTTTGTAATTTGCAGTTTTTATACTGGCATTTTTTATGAATCTACAAGTATTATCTCGTGTTCAGAGACTCTGGTTTTGAGGTTGGCAGAACTTTGGTTGCACGGTGATCTTGTGGTGTGGTGTAGATCATCTCCTTACAAACAGAACTGCGCTTCTTGGTTGTGCGACTTCTCTTTTTTTCTTCGCTCGGTTTTATTGCGGGTCTTATATTCCGTCTTCTACGGGTTGCGTGTGCATGCAGGGGAATCAAGAACTGGCGGACAAGGATGTCCACTACGAAGAGGTACTCCCCTCCACTTTACCTTGCGCAAAAGCCCACATTTAATGAATCTTTTGGGTGCACATAGAAATCCGAATCTAGATTTACTGCGCAATCTGCTTAGCTCAATTCACCAGGCAACCGAAAATAGAGGATGCCCAGTTGCAGAAGAGGAAACAATTTGTTGTTTTGTCAGATATTTAAAGCGAATAGCTCAATTCTTTGGCCAGCATGGTTGCAGCGAAGTAGTTCAATCGCAATTGAGGCAGAGAGTGTCGATGAATACCCCTGTTGTTAACTGCATTTTTTGGTTTGTGGTGTTCAAAGGATTGATCTCTTGGGAAATGGTTTGGTGGATCTACAGGATTACATCCAGCGGCGTGGGCTGAAGCTGTTCACATGCCGGTGGTTGCCGGTGCACCAGGAGATCAAGGGGCTCATCTTCATGTGTCATGGTGCGCGCAAATTCAACTTAATCGTTTGGTTGATTGACAGGATTCTCGGTGTGACAACCTTTGAGATCTTAGGCTAGAACTAACCGTAAATTTCGTGTGGTTACATTTTCAGGGTACGGTGTGGAGTGCAGCGTCTTCCTGAGACCCACTGGCATCCGCTTTGCTCAAGCAGGCTATGCCGCCTTTGGCATTGATCAAGTAGGCCACGGCAAGTCAGAAGGCCGGCGGTGCTACGTCGAGAGTTTCCAAGATCTCGTGGACGACTCCATCGCTTACTTCAAAAGTATCCGAGGTGCGGTTATGTACATTTTCAGACCTTGGGATGCAAATCATTTCAATATCAACTTTCTGGGCAGGATTTGATCGAGTAGGCCTTGAGGTGTTGGTAAGACGCTGAGAACAGAGATGAGAATGGCGCTGATTTTTACAGATCTTGAAGAGTACCGAAACAAGCCGCGCTTCCTTTATGGCGAGTCCATGGGGGGAGCTATCGTCCTCCACATCCACCGCAAAGAACCTGAAGAGTGGAGCGGGGCTGTATTACAGGCTCCCATGTGCAAAATCTCGGAAAAATTGAAGCCGCCACAGATCGTCACCAGTATCCTGACGATGATGTCGAACTACATACCTACGTGGAAGATTGTGCCGTCTGAAAACATCATCGACAACGCCTTCAAAGACCCGATCAAGCGGGCGGAGGTAACCAATTTTCCAACACAATTGCGCATGCCTCAATACTATTTATGGACTGAAACTCATGATCACGAAATTCGAATGAAATTTTATCTGGTGATGGGGCTAACTCGCTCGCTTACGCCCCAGATTCGAGCGAATCCATTCACCTACCAAGGCCGGCCACGAGTGAAGACGGCCCTGGAGATGCTCAGGGCTAGCGAGTCGCTCGAGCAACGTCTGGACGAGGTACCCTGCCCTTGGAAATTCGCTTTAAATAGAGGAATCTTCTTAGCAAATTTGGCTGGAAGTGTCTAGAACCTGGGTGATTCATGTTTGTATCTGATTGATCTCAGGTGATACTACCATTTTTGTTGCTGCACGGTGAAGAGGATCGCGTGACGGACCCGGACATCAGCCGTGAGCTCTTCCGAACTTCCAAGAGTTGTGACAAGGAGTTCAAGCTCTACCCGGGCATGTGGCATGGCTTGACAGCTGGCGAGCCAGACGACAACGTCGAGCTCGTGTTTAACGACATCATCCACTGGCTCAACAAGCGGAGCTCTTTGGGTTCTGACAGTCCTCTCCGACAAGCAGACATCTCAGCTCTGGAATCTGCAACCCCTTCGAAGCAGCGATCGTCTTCCGACATCAAAGCTACTGTGGGCAAGGTCACCGACTAAGTATGATGCATTGGTCATTCTCGTTTAGACCTCTGTTAGTACCTCATCACAGTTCACGAAGGTAAGAGATAAATTAAGAGAATATATACAGTCAGTAGCGGCACTCCGCCACCACAGCACAGTAACCCCTAACTACGTGTATATAGCAGTATGTATATACCTTAACACATACACGTATTTATACTAACACCCTTCTGTAATATTGGGCCTCCGTTGAGTGCATCATGGCCACTCATCTTATGGACTAATTACATTCCCAGAATTAATTAGAATGGATTCACTATTTTTTTGGAAAACCCTACTGGTATGTCAGTTCCTTAGAGTCATGACCAGAGCATTGCATCTGAGTTGTTAGAAGAACAAAATTGAATCTAGGCCGTTGAGTCTTTTTCTTTTAATCAAGTTTTCTTCTTTTGAGACCTTTCTCTTTCACTTGTAAGGTTTTTGTGTTTACAGTTGATACCTTTTTCATTTATGTTGAGTATTGTGTCTGTAGTTGGTTCCTTTATTTATGTTGGTAATTAGAGCAACAATGACATTCCTTATCTTGTATTTGATGATTTTTGTCATCTTTTATACCTTGAGGGTCAAGGAGTGACAAGGAACTATCTAGTAGTGGTATGCTACTAGTGTGAAGGAGTGTTTTGGTGCATGTGACCTTCTCTAATCTTCCTCTCTTAGTTTTTCCAAATAGTCTCTTTGTCAGTTTCTCTTTTTGGTGTTGTTCCTAACCTCCTTGTATCACCTTGTTTTGGTGGTGTTGTCAGTTACATAGGTGAAATAGTCAATCAATAACCTGGTTCAACATTCTATGATTCCTAATACAACTTCCCTGTAATGTTTCATTACCTCCCTTAACCTGATTGTTCCTGCAGGTCACATGCACCAAAACATGCACATTGTAATATTATGTGTTCTCTAATCTTTTGTTCTTGGCCAGCTTTAACTTGACCTTCTGATTGAAGTATATAGACTGCTTCTTTGAGGACTCTATAAAAAAGATATATTTCACATTCATATGACTAAGCTCCCAATAGTTGTGTGTGGCAATTGTAATAAGTCTGCAGATTGTTTTCTTTTGTGCCACATGTTCAAAACTCTCTCTAAAATTAAAAAAAATGTATAAACCTATTTTGTCAAAATTGATTCATGTCTACTTGATAAGTCTATCAAATTTCAAGTATAGTTTCTATTTTTATTTTTTATTGCATCTAGTTTTGCTTCCATTGTGTTTCTCCACCTTATATCTTTATTGTCTTTTTGGAAGGTAATTGGTTCAATTTCTAATATATGTGCTTCCACTAAGCTTGCATTATAGTTGTGTTTTTTCATAAGGAGTAACTCAATTGTTAATAAAGTTGAGTCCAAAGACAATTTGGTGCTTTAGTTATGATCATCATACTGCACATTTTTTTTCACAAAGGCATAAATTTGTTTTTTTAAAGACTCCATGTTAGTGAGGTTTAAATAGTGCCATTAGCTTAGTTTTAATTCTTTTGTTGTTTAATAATTACTTACATTCTCTTCATGTTATATTATGTGAAGTCTTACTTAAAAATGCACCAAATACTTATATGTAGAATATAATTTGGAAATTGCAACAACAAGATCCTAACAACTCACATAGAGTCTTAAATAATTTCCATTTAAACCTTAAATTTTTTAATCAAATTCAAAAGAAGTCTAAAAGAAATTACAAAAGAAATATTAAAAAAAACATAATTTAATCATAAAGAAATATATATATATATATATATATATATATATATACAAAAAAATAATCCTAGAAAAAAAATAAAAATAAACTTAAAGAAAAAACAAAAAATCCTATAGAAATATTAAAAATAAAAAATCAAACCAATGAATTGCTTAAGATCACAAACAATCTTGCAAACCTTAAAATTTAAATATCTTAGACATTAATCCAATCAAATTTCTGTATTTTTCAATCAAAGCATTCAATTGAAATTTATTTATAAAATACATTAAAAAAATTAAATTTACAAATCTATAAAATTTTACTTTTATACTAGCTACAATACTTGCAAATTATTTAAATATATAAGTTTATTTTTATTTTTCAAAATCTAAAATTATTAAAAACATCTTTCACTTTGAAAAGCTTTGAAAATCTTAATATTCATTTCAAAGCACTTAAAACCAATGCTAATACAACTAATCTAAAGTTTTTTCTCTAATCTTGCTCTTTGATTACTAAAAAAATTCCAAAAAATATCATAGGTGTACGACTCTGTACCTTAGTGTCTAATTTCAACCTTGGTTCACAATTTGTTCTCTTTCGATGTCAATTCTTAATTTCTTAAAGTAATTTTTACTACATACTAATCTTAAATCTCTCATTAATATTTTAATAATATTTATTTTTCTAATTTACTTTATGTGGCCTTATTTATAGCCATTTAAAATAAATTGAAGCAATTTTTTTAATAAAATGACAACATTAATACTAAAAGGTTTTACTACCTCTCTATCTTTTATGAATATTTTTTTTTACTATATTTTTAAAATTAGACTCTTTTATAATAGAATCCATATTTTTATCTTTTATTGTATAATCATATTATAATATTATACTATCTTCTAATTTTTTTAATACTATTTTTTTGCTAGAATAGACTTGTTGGCTTGTGTAGCTCTAAAACATACTCCTTGCTTCACTCAATTACCTTGAATATGTCAAATTTCTTTAGTAGGCCACAAAGAATCATGAATGTTATTATGGACTCCTTCAAATATTTTTTGATACCTCATAATTGATTTAAAGTGCATTAATTTGCTAAAGATATCAAAGATATGAACCTCAAAGAACTAATAAGTCAATACATTCTTGTGTCACTTAAAAATTCTAAAAAATCATTCAAAGATAGTAATATATTGAATTAAAATGGCTATTATCAAAGATAGAAAGACTAAAAAGTCTTGAAAGAAGACTAAAAACTAAAAAGTTTTTGATAAGAATGAAGAAAGTTTCACTCTTATCTCTATATATACTATCTAGCTAAGAGCTATGTCACAATGTTCTATAGGACCTCTAACACATGTTGACTTTGTTAGATATATGTCTTAATTTGTAAGGCAAGTCTTATATATATGTACTATATAGTTAATTTATTCTACAATCTATCAATATGTGTAATATATGGCTAACTTGTTGACTAAGTTTCTAACCTACCAATTAGCTATAAATACATGCAAAGCCAAAGTAGCATCTTTATAGCTTCTAGAAAGCTTTTCTAAAAGATATTATAAAATAAATCTATTTTTACTTATTTTTACTTAATCATATAGGTAATTGTTAAAATAAATATGTATGTATGTAACATTATTCTTTGTCATCTAGAAACGAGTTCTATAAGGAATAGTCATCATATGTTAAAGAAATCCAAGATGCGGCCAATTGTATTTACTACATATTTTGATCTTTGTTCTCTTTGAAGATGATTAATATGTCTTGTCAGCTATTGATAGTATTCCATATTAAGGCAAGAAGACCACCTTGTTATTTGATCATTGTTGAGGCCATTATAACTCCATTAAAATAAAATATCTAGAACATTGTTAAGAGCCATTTCTGCATTTAATAAAATCATCAAACATTGAGAATCTATTTTAAGTTTGTGATACCAAATATATTGTATCTTTCCATTTATTTGAGGAAGATATGTTATTCTTGAAGATCTTTATTTCAATTATATTATCTTGAAGGTTGTAACAATTGCAATGTCTTATCTGATAAATCAATAAGCAATAGTTGTTGAATTGAATCTACTAGTTATTGATTCTTCATTTCATTAATATCATAAATACATAGATGTTATGGATATATATCTATTATAATTTTTACCTAGCTAATATGAATATATATATATATATATATATATAGCTTAAAGTAGATTAATTTTATAATACCTTCTAAAAAAGCTTCCTAGATGTTGTTTTGACTTTACATATGTTTGAAGTTGATTAGTAAGTTAGAAACTTGGTCAATAAGCTAATCATATGCCTTATATATTGATAGCTTGTGGAACAAGCTAACTATGTAGCACTCATATAGAAAACTTGTCTTGCAAATCAAGATACATATTATACAAAATCAACATGTTTTTGGAGGTCCTATAGAATATTGCCACATAGATCCTAAATAGATAGTATAAATAGAAGCAAGTGTGAAGCCTTCTTCACTCTTATCAATTGCTTACTTGCTTCTAGTCTAGATTTAAGAGTCTTTAGTTTTCTTGTCTTTTGACAATAGCTATTATAGTTTCTTTTAATATACATACTTCTTTATTTTTATTTTGTCACTTTTCTTTTGAGATAAATTTCTTAAATTTATGCATTTTCTTTTAGTTCATGTTCTTAACACATTGATAAGAGTGCACTTATAATATTAGAGATTTTTTTTCTCTTGATCAAGAGTGAAATATATATATATTTTTTATAAGTATATTAGAAGTTGCGGATTATCTTCTTCTAAACTAATATTATTCTTAGTATCTTCTTTGTTCTTAAGTCCTCTCTTTTGCTTGTCTTGAGCGATAATAGATATTTTTTTTTAGTATTATAATGATAGAGCTTCTTGAAATGAAGAGTGCAATGGCACAAATATAAGAACAAATAAAGAAATTGATGCTTGTAATGCATCAATTTAGTTTATTGTCACCAAGAGCAACAAAAATGGTAAGAAGTGAAGATATAGATATGATTGGAGCCACTTCAATATCTATACTAAATCACATCTCTTCTCTTATAATAGAACACTCTTCCAATATTAAAAAACCTAGAGTTGCCTAAGTTAAAAAGTTTGATGATACAAGATCTTAATTTTGAGGATTTATCAATCAAATATAACTTGTGATTAAATTTCAACTTGAAAGTTATCTAATGATGGGATCATAAGTTAGATTTATTGGTACACTTCTTTCAAGTTTGGAATTATCATGGTTTTTATCTTTTTTTAAATCACAAGATCCAATACTAGATAATCTGAAGGCTTTTTTAGAGGAGTTTTGATCTATGTATGGAAAACATGATGTTATTTGTATTGCAACTAATGAAATTTATATCTTGCAACAATGCAATTAATTAGTAAGATCATATGCTTCACAATTTTAATATCTAGGAATTAATGTCAAGTGGAATGATGATGCCCTCATCAACCAATTTTTCTATAGATTATAATATAAGATAAAGAAATTGATATTCAACTTATCTGATCCTCAGACATTGAGTCAAGTAATTGACTTTGTTGTGAAGTGTGATAATTAGCTTTTTGAGTTTCAATCTAAAAATTGCATAAGATAACCTCCACATTATTATAATTCAATGACAACACTGATGGTCTCTCAATCTAAAAATTTGGAAGTAGAAGACATGTAAATTAATGTGATATATTTTAAATTTTTTTACTAAAC